CACCCATCAGCCCACCCACACGCTCCCGCCAGGTGCCTTCTGCACGGCGACGAGCGACTCCTCCTCACGCCCGACACGACTCCCGCTGTCCTCCGCCTCGTTCAGCAGATCCGCGTCTCGGCACCCGCCCAAACCGCGAGCGCGACCTCCGCGAACGGGAATTCTCGGGAAGGTTCCGAGCCGGTCGATGTGGACTGCACTTCGGCCTCGTCTCGGGAGGCGCCCACGGGCGCCGACCGGCAGCTAGCCCTCGTGATGGAGCGGCGACAGGCGCGCAAGATGCAGGAGAAGCGAGAGCAGGGCAGGCGGCTGAGCCTGAGCGGGCGAAGCTCGACAGGCTCTCTGAGCGGGCGAAGCGAGGATTGAAGCACATGCGCATGTACATGTACATGTTGTTGTTGTAGTTCGAGATATCTCCACGCGATCTCCGCGATCTCTCTCTCTTCTGAAACTTTTTTCTCACAACACATCTCACTTCTCTCTCTTGAAACCGTTCTCTCTCTCTTTTGTCGACATGTTTTGATGAGGTTTCTTTGCATTGTGGCTCTCTATACGCGCGCGCGCTTCAACGCCTCTGGGGGGGCCGAGGTCGCGGCAGAAGGACCCTCCTGCGGCCGCCCTCTGCGGCGCCTCCGGCTCCGCTGCCTGTTGCCGCCGCGAGCTCGGCGCTCGCAGTCTCCGCCAGTTGCTGCGCCTGCCGCTCGCGATCCAGGGCGTCCCTAAGTTCGCCCTTGAGCTCCGCTCGCAAGGCATCGGCAGCGCCCTGGGCCGCAAGCCCGGCCTGCTTCTCCCGCGCGAGAGCATCTCGCAACTCGCGGCACTCGCGGTGCAGGATTTTGTTCTTTGCCTGCAGCTCGGCATTCTCTTGCCGAAGCAGCGCGCCTGCCGCTGCACATCGCTTTGTGAGCGCGTCCATCTCCACCTTTGCGGCCTGTGCCGCCTTTTCGCGGGCCAGCGTGGCCGCAGCCTCTGCCCCAAAGGAGGGCAGCGGGTCGTTAAAGGAGGACTTGTTGAAGATAGAGTCGAAGATGGCATCTGGCGACATGAAGCGACTGGGCACCGGCGGCATCGGAGGTATGGGTGGCTGAGCCTGATGCTCGCGGGCACGATTCGGGCCGCCTCGGCCACCGCCTCGGCCACCACCGCCCGGGCCGCCTCGGCCACCGCCTCGGCCATCATCTCGGCCATGCTCCA